CCTCCAGATGTTAATATCTATCTCAGGATGTTCTCCAGTTGTTACTGTGTCTCAAGATGTCTTGCAGATGTTATCTGTCTCAGAATGTCCTCCAGATGTTTATATCTGTCTCAGGATGTCCTCCAGATGTTAATATCTGTCTCAGAATGTCCTCCAGATGTTAATATCTGTCTCAGAATGTCCTCCAGATGTTAATATCTGTCTCAGAATGTCCTCCAGATGTTAATATCTGTCTCAGAATGTCCTCCAGATGTTATCTGTCTCAGAATGTCCTCCAGATGTGCATGTTCCTGTCCTCGGCCTGCCCCAGTAAACCCTGGGTTCAGTCTGGCAGGTGTTGTGAGGACAACAGTCCAGCTCTAAGCATCATCACCAGGCCAACATCTGGTGGACCGGAAGCCTGCTTCCACCAACAGAACCACGGGTTCTGTTCAGAAGTTCGGTTTGAAACAAAACCCCGTTTTAAAGCCCGGCGGCGGCAACGACCGCGTCTCCGTGACTCGGTGCTTTACCGTGGTCGGTTGTTAGCGCGGCTGTGTGAGCTGCTTCATCCCGCTCCGTGTCACCCTCTGCAGGCAGACAGAGTCCAGGAGCACCGACCTCCTCCTCGGACTCTGGGTCCCGGTGAGAACCCGGTCCTGCGTGTTTAAATCCAGATGGTTGTCCGTGTTTGGTTCCGATTCGGTCCCTGGTGGAAGCTACATGAGGAGGATGGAGCTCTGTTTGTTTGTCTGGGACACACTGCACATGCGCAGAATCATGACAAGGCGCATGCGTAGTGCGCATTCATGGGGAGAAGTCACGTGATCAGTAAATGCGCCAAGTAGTACTATCGAAAAGCCTAACTAAAAGCTAAAATTTGCAAAACACTAGCTAAAAGCTAAAACTTGTAAAATAGTAACTAAAAACTAAAGGTAGCAAAACCTAGCAAAAGGTATAGTACCAAAGAGTTAACTTGAAGATAAAAGTAACACAAGACTACCTAAAAACTAAAAGTTGCATAACACTAGCTAAAAGCTAAAACTTGTAAATAACTAAAAGCTAATGGTAGCAACAAATGATAAAAAGCTAATGTAGCAAAAAGCAAGCTAGAAGATAAAAGTAAAAGACTGACTAAAAGCTAAAAGTTGCACAACATTATCTAAAAGCATAAACTTGTAAATAACTAAAAGCTAAAGGTAGCAAAAAAACTAGCAAAAGCTATAGTAGCAAAACTTTAGCTAGATGATAAATGTGACAAAAGACCAAAAGTGGCAAAACACTAGCTAATAGCTAAAACTTGTAAATGATAACTAAAAGTTAATAGCGGCAACAAATGATCAAAAGCTAAAGTAGCAAAAGATTAGCTATAAAAGTAACGAAAGACTACCTAAAAGCTCAAAGTTGCAAAACACTAGCTAAAAGCTAAAATTTGTAAATAGTAACTGAAAGCTACAGGTAAAAACAAATTAGCAAAAGGCTAGCTAGAAGATAAAATTAAGACTAACAAAGAGGCAACGTGTCAAAACACTTGTAAATGCTAACAGCTAAAGCTAGCAAATGGGCAGCTAAAAGCTCCAGTAAAAATAAAGGCCAAAATGTTTGAAACTATTAGTCTTGAGGACTAACTGAAAGTATTAAGACTAGTTAAAATCTAAAAGAAGCAGAAGACTATCTAAAAGATAAAATTAGCAGAACAGTAGCTAAAAGCTAAAACCTGTTGTGGTTCTAGTCTCTGTAACTGCACTTTGATGATCTCAGAGTGAACATTACATTYATTGGAACTCTGAATCTCTCTCTGAGTCTCTGCTGATCTGCTGAGACTTGTTCCTGGTCTCTGCCAAGGTTCTGGGYGGGACTAATGAGAGAACAGCCCACCCCTCTCTGAGTCACCCCTGACAGTCAGCTACATCTGTGAGGACACRGAGTTTTAACACCAGCACAACTGAGTCAGACTGGTCCAGAACCAGCCCTCACACTGGTTCTGACACAAGTCCTCCAGGGACTCAACAGGAAGGGAGGAGCAAAGGCCTCAATGAGAGGCCGCAGGTCCTCACAGAGACACACATTCCTCTGACACACACACATCTGGAGAACATCAGCCAGCAATCAAACCAGACGGAGCCCTGATGAGCCTCAGAGCTGACGAAGGCCGGACCAGGACTCCACCGAGCCTGGAAGGGTCCCACTAATCCTGATCCTGACCTGGACTGGACTGGACTGGTGGTGCTGCTGCAGCTGTTGTTCTGCAGCTGGAGGAAACAGGAAGCAGCTGTTGTGGAAAAAAAACCTGACAAGCACGCCAAGGACAAACCACAGAAGAGAAAATGAAGCTGACTGTGACGACGCTCCTCTTCGTCTCCTCGCTGTCGTCCATCCACAGCGTCTCTGTGACTCCGGATCCYCCAGAGAACTGTTCTGGCATGGGTTTACGTAAGTATTTCTTGGACCGGAAAAGTTGGACACATGTCAACTTTTGGACAAGTGAACTGACACATCTTTGTTTCTTGATAATCTTTAAAGTTTTCTTATTTTAGAAAATATTTTTTTATTGTTGAACAAAAATGTAATACATTTATTTCTGTTGATTTTTTTTTATGTTAACACAAAACTTTAACAAACTGAAAGCAACAGGATCTTATCTGTAAGTTGTTTAAATTTCTGCTGTCACTCTGTGATCTAAACCAGTGGTTCCCAAAGTTGGGTTCAGGACCCAAAGTGGGGTCCCGAAACATCAAGGTGGGGTCCTGAAA